AGCGGATTCAATCTGAACCCTCTGATTCATGCACTCCGAAGCTCCGAGACTGTACCCACCATTCCCTGAACAAAGAGGGTGGGGGGTATCCAGTCTGCGTCACTGAGGTGGGGACGTACCCCGGCTCAGCTTGTCGGCGAAAACACATGCGTCTAAGGCCGCGTCTCGTAGCACAGTAGTGGCCCTGGCCAAGCGAGCCAGGCAACACTAGGGGGTGTCGCACGTAGATGTGCGGTGGCCCACCAGTAAAAATGTCGCCTGGTCTAGGAGGCTGGTGCGTTCTGCCTCCAAGGTCACCAGAGTGCTGGGCACGCATAATAATGCGCTCAAGCAACTCTGCCCTCAGGGCTAGATGGGTCGTCCTCAATTGGCAAAGACACCCATGGAATGCGGCTATCCCCCTTTGCCCGGTTTGCCAAATTCATGGCACCGGGGTCTGGGGAAGGAGCCTTGGAATCCGGTTGGAGTGTTTTGGTCTCATCCCACGCTATGGGGTCTGATCCCGAAATACACCGACCGGGTAGCGTTTGGTCCAGTGGGAAATGTTGCCTAACGTTATCCCCACCCGGGGGCCTTAAGCATTACATCCTCCGCGGCTGACCAATGCTGCCCATCAACACCGTTGATGGAAGATGGAAGACTCTGAGGGACCGCCCGGAGTACCGGCTGTATCCAACGCGAGTGAACTGCGTCTCCTCTAACTTAAAATATGTGAGAGGGAGCGTGTTCGACTGTGCGTCTCATGACAGGGTCGGTTCCCTCTGGGGACGCCCGTGGGCCGGTAAGAAAGGAGTCAAAACCCACAGCGGGGACCGGACACAAGGATAAATTCGTTACCGTTGTACCGTTACCGCGTGACGAACCCTAGCTGGCTGAAAGTGGGGGGGGGGGTCAACGCGTGCCCTGCCCTGAAAGCCCTGCCCCGAGATCGGAGACTTGGCTGCCAGCACCCCGTTGGCATTCAGTGCCCGCGGATCCAGAGAAGGACCGGTGCAATTAGCCTGAGCCTCGGCCACCCCCCAAAATAGTGGGAGAGCCGTGACTGGGAACGGGGGTTCCCCGGAAGAGACGTGTTTGAATGCAAACATGCTTTCGTGTTTCTTCCTGCTAGCCCACCGAGGGGACACAGTGGAGACAGCTCGCTCCGACTGCTTCTGATCTTGCCAGGGACGCAATTGCCCCGACAGTCCTTCGACCAAAGCCCTCAACTCGGAGACAAACCCGGTGCCGTGCGAGGAAGGGTCCACAAAGAGACCCGCAACGGCCCCAT